AAAAAAAAAAAAAAAAAAAAAGAGTATGTATAGGGTAAAGTAGAAAGAGAAAGAGCTGATTCCTGAAGATCCTGCTATGAAAAGGGAAATCTCATTAGTCTGAAGAGAACTAAAGAGATGCGGAAGGATGAAACTGATGGATAAAATTGAGTAAGTGGGAAGTGCTGACATTGTTATCATTATTTTGTAGATCTTTGTTAAAATGTCCCACAGATAACATTTCCCTTATAATATCCCTCAATCAGGACACAAAGAAAGGTAAGTATCTGGGACACATTAAAAACCTGGTTTCTTTTTTTTTTTGAGATGGAGTCTCACTTGCTTAGGCCGGACTGCAATGGCATGATCCCAGCTCACTGCAACCTCTGCCTCCCAGGTTTAAGCAATTGTCCTGCCTCAGCCTCCTGAGTAGCTGGGACTACAGGCATGCACCACCACATCTGGCTAATTTTTGTATTTTTAGTAGAGATGGGGTTTCACCATGTTGGCCAGGCTGGTCTCGAACTCCTGACTTCAAGTGATCCACCCGCCTCAGCCTCCCAAAGTGCTGGGATTACAGGTGTGAGCCACGGCACCCAGGCTGCTTAGCTTTTTGGTAAAGCATTATGAGACTAAATCAGGGAGTGATTCTCACGGCGGTAGATTTAGAGAGCATATTTTGGTGTTTGGGAAATGAGAAGCTAGACCAACCCTTTGTTAGCAGGAAATGAGAGTGAAGTGAAAGATCAAGAGGCTAGGCCAGTAAATGTAGCTGAATTGAAGGCATATTAAGAGTCTAAGGAGAGAAATTTCAGGAGAAACTCTGCAAGAAAGCTGAAGTTTCCCTATAATTAACACGACAAGGGCGAAGCATATAATCCTTGTAAAGGGGTCTTAACACAGTATTACCTGTGTCCCTTTGATGTGCTGTGGGAAGGAGTGGGAGCTGGCAGGTGGGCTGTAAGGCAGAATGTGAGGCAGGGGATGCTTATTTCTGGAGGCATGGCTCCATGGTGGCACGGAGACCAATTAGCATCTTAAATCCGCATGATTGATTACCTGTAGATTAGGGTTTATTGTTAGTGGGAAGTGAAAATTGTGGTCGGCTGACAGCCTGCACGTTCATTCATTCGGTCAGTCAACATGAACTTATTCAGTGCCTGTCAAGTGCCAGACACTGTTTTAGGTACTGGAGACAGAGTAGTGATAAAGTTCGCATTTTCACAGAGCTGACATCCTAGTGGAAGCCATGGACTATAAAGAAATCGTTCTGTATTGCTAAAGGCTATGAAGTAAAATGAAGCTCTCTGGGTTAGAGTGATACCAAACTGAGGTTGATGCAAAGAGAATTATGATGATGATGATGATTATTATTATTAATAGTTGCCCAGGCTGGAGTACAGTGGTGCGATCTCGGCTCACTGCAACCTCCACCTCCTGGGTTCAAGCGATTCTCCTGCCTCAGCCTCCCCAGGGAGCTGGGATTACAGGTGCCCACCACCACGCCCGGCTAATTTTTTTATTTTTAGTAGAGAGAGGGTTTTACCATGTTGGCCAGGCTGGTCTCAAACTCCTGACCTCAGGTGATCCACCTGCCTTGGCCTCCCAAAGTGCTAGGATTACAGGCATGAACTACTGTGCCTGGCCTTGAGAAGAAATATTCTTTGTTAAAATGAAGAGGATATTGAGGGAAGAAATTGAAATACCCACTTAGCATTATAGCCAGAGAAAGGAGACAGCAGGATGACATTATTTTAAAGGCCAATTTTCTGTTCAGTGTGTTACAAATATGTCTCCTTCATAAGGGAATAGAGTCGTCTGGGGGCAGTGAGCAAACTTACTAGAATTCCCAGCTGGCTGGATTGGCCGATGTAGCAAAGTTGACGGTTCCTGCCAAAGTTGAATTTCCTAAGATCTGAAGAAAAACACATATTTTAATATTGGTGGGTGCGTATGACTCTGCCTGCATCCCTGCATGTATGAGCTCATTCTTGTTCTCTCTCTTTAATGAGAAATATTTTCTCAGCTGTAGCAAAAACCCACAGCGTTGGTGTGAGGGCTTGAGAGAGAGGCTGCTAGTTTCTGCTGTTCCTAAATTTACATACATACTGCCACAATTGTAGGTCCCACACCTGACCTAGTTTTATTCATTTGGTTTTCTTCCAGTACCTAATTTCCTTAACCTAGATGTGGATCTGTTTAATTTCCCCAACATACACATATGCTTGTTTGTTTAGTTACATTTCTAACTCTTGGAGGATGAATCTGTCATTTGAATCTTAAGGCGGGGTAAAAATTGCTGCTAAAAAGCATCTATTTGCAAAGCAGTTATTTAAATGTTCTTTCTTGTTCTGGTTTGCCTGAATGCTTCTGTGGATGAACCACTGTTCCTCAGAAAGAAAATGGATGTTGAGGCCTGAAATCTCAT